CAAATAAAGTAGTGTGGTAATAGGAACGTTACAGGAACCTGTCACGAGAAGCAAGTAAAAATCCTTGAGGTAAGAAACAAATTTAAAGGTGGCCTTGTGATCTATGTGATCTTATATATAGCTGATCAATGAAAGGGATTATTATGGTAAAAATTTGTATTTCTCCAGAAGGGCAGTTTTAGCAGCCCGAAGATTTCGCTCGTAATTTTGTTATTGATTGAATTCTCTTTACTAGTACTTTTATGTATATAACATTTTGATTACTTGGTAAAGGTTTTATTATTCGAGTTTTAGGTTTGGACACCCTAGTTCAAATTCCAATATATTAGATATTGGAATTAGTTATTCATTTCTCTTATCGGCCAATCACTGAGAGTCAGCCCAATCAGAGTCATTCTTGGAGTCTAAGTTCCAATATATTAGATATTGGAATTGATTGCGCTATTTTGCTATTGACCGATTGGTGGGACTTAACTCAACTGGAGTTATTACCTTACTTAGAACTCCAGTATACTGCATATTGGAATTGGTTTTCTCTTTTATTTGGCGGTTCGTCGATATTACGTCTAGCAGGTAAACCGGTTTCTGGACCCCTCTATTTGACTGATCGGAATAATCTGTATTATTCTGTTCTATTCCTGCTATTTTTCCTGTCTTATTATATTTTCCGACATTCCAGTAGCGGCGACGTTTTTTGAATATCGTCTGTTACGACGACAAGGGCTATTTGAAACGGGTGTTTTGTGTACAGAACCCACGGGGACTATGAAATAATTATTTTACTTGCTTGGTGAGCCCCACGAACGATTTTCAAAAACAGATGGCCTTTTCTTACAAATCTCTATCCAGGGAAAATTTAATTTATAATTTTAGAGTGTAACGTGGTTGGGTTGGCCAGATTTGTGATGGAAAAATAGAGGCGGAAGTTGAAAAATCTTGTGGAAAAAGCTAGGGTGGTGATGGCACTTGTTGCACTATTGAGCTTTAGCCGAATTTCCATAATACAGTACTTCTCTGCTGGAGTACAAAATCCAGTACAGTTGTGGAATAAGTGGGATGTCGCGACCGTGTGGAAATGGCACTCAAATGATACATAGTAAGCAAGGCACTATCTGGTGGCGGTAGGACTCTTTGGATACGCGTGCTGGAGATTTTGTGGAACAGATAAGAGCTGAAGTTTGACGAAAAAGAATGTAGGATGTATCTAAAAAACCTCTTCTGGGATCCTGAATTTCCACTCTTGATAACCAATCTTCTTCAGTGGTACGGTCCACGGTCTGGATCAGATCAAATGGTTATAATCTACATTTAGAAATGTTTTAGAATTAAATTGCTTCATTTTTTCTGTCTGTCGTCCCATTTTTGTAAGTACGTTGATTTCAACTTTAAAATGTGACTTTGTACTTGAACATTTATTTTTTCTGTTTATTTTGTGTTCGTAAACTCTAACTGTTTAGCAACCGACTCTTGATGTTTATAACAATATTTTAAATTGCAACATTTGAGGAGCGTTTGAATAATGAAGGGTTGCTGTATGTGGGCAGGAGTGCGACACCTTGAGAAACTTTTCGTCCGAACGTTGCTAGAGTACGTAAGAGCATTGAACTGCTGTTGGCAGGTATCATTCATCAGCGATTTAGCGCACCAGTTTCAGTAAACGGTCAGCAAAATCAGATTTATTATTAGTGTATTACAGTTCTATTTTAGCGTGGTTGGTGCCGTACAGTTTGACAACTGTCGTGGCTTACAATAAAGATATTTGATACTCAACGACCCATAAAGGCGTGTGGAGGAGTATTACAGCAAACCCTCCTCGGTTTAGAGAACTCTCGGGTTGTCAGGGCAAACTTTTTAGGTCTAAAAATTTGTTAATAAGGCATTCAGCAGTACAGCCAAATTGTTTTTCTGTGTACTTCTACATGCTTTTTACTGTGAAAATAACCTGCCATACAGTACCCTTTACATTTACACCTACTTTACAAAAAGAGCTGAAAATTGTCTTTAAGCTTTTGATTAGAGAGCGTAAGCTCCTGGGCGAAATTATTGTAATGAACCGCATAATTAAACGGAATAGAGAAATGTTCTGGAAGACGAAAGATGACGTTTAAAAATCGTAGTCAGTCTCACTGGAAACCAAGCTGAAGCATAGTGGTTTCAATTGTTGGGCTAGTAGTCGTCTCATCGGCGTATTCTAAACTGTGGTCAAGCGCTGTAAAAGAAGGAAGGACCTTTACACGCTTGATTTCCACCTTTCCGGGTTCCTAATATCTTTTTTTTTTCTTACTTTACTTTTTCGTTTATTGTTGT